AGAGAGAGAGAGAGAGAGAGAGAGAGAGAGAGAGAGAGAGAGAGAGAAAGAGAGAGAGAGAGAGAGAGAGAGAGAACGCACCTTTTTCATCATTGGATTAGAAGCACTGCGGGATGACGACGACGTCGACAACGTGGGTGCTGGTAGCGACGAAGAAAATGACGGTGCGGGTCGCGACGTAGGAAACGACGGCACGGAGGATGGCGACGGCGACGCGGGAAATGGCCACGCGGGAGACAGCGACGTGGGAGATGGCAACGCGGGATATGGCGACGTGGGAGATGTCGATACGGGAGATGGTGACGAGAGGGATATGGCGAAGGCAAGAAGGACATGGATAGTGGTATGTCTGGCGACGAGATGCCTATGGCGACGGCAAAGGCGGAAGGTGCTGGCACGAGACTGGTTGGCGACACCTACAATTGCCTGCGCTGCAGATACCTACAATTGCCTGCGTTGTGGCACAAATTAGCGGGATAGCGTCGACGTCATTCGAATGGAGGATGCATCCGTGTGGGCCCCAAAAAGTAGGGTGGGCGGGAAAATTTCCTCCAGCGGGTTCATGGGAGTTGTCGATATAGCGCGATTGGGCGGTTCGTACAAAGCCTCCAAATTACGGCAACGGGTCCGGAAAGCGGGATTTTGAGACGGGACGGTCTTCGGGACCTACGTGTGCCTGCGGCTGCAGCGCAGTGGCGTGAATTTGCCGATTGGCGGTGACGTTATTCGAAAGGCGGATGCATCCCTGCGGGCCCCCGAAAAAGAAAAAGGGTGGGCGGAAAAGTTTCCGCCAGCTGGTATATAGCAGCCGTCGATCGAGCATGATCGGCCGGTTGCAACTGACCACGCCTCTCAATTACGGCCCGCCCTCCCTCGACGGTTACGTAAAGGGCCCACCTGACGACAGAGCTCCCGACGCGACTCTCCGGCGGGACGAACCTTGCGGCGGCCTGTGACGAACGTGCCAGTTGGCAGCATGAATCGGACCGGGGTGCTGTCGACCCCGTTCGCTGGTGTCATTTGCTCCGAGCTCTACCGCAGCGACTCGTCTGCCATCGCTAGAAGACGCCCGCCGTCATATCGCAGGCCACAAGAGCTTTCAGGGCGTCGTTGTTCCATGCCATCGTTGACAACCAGGGGTGCTTACGTAAACGCCACGTGACGCACCACCTTGCGTGTGAACTCGTTCACCGTGGCCTCTTCGTACGTGCGTTTGAGGATGTTATCAGCTCGCCGGTCAGTAATAGGCCTACGTCCTGTGCTCGGCCCCTCAACTCTTCCAAGCCCCTGCGTCTTCGCATTGCCCGTCCACATCTTCTTCCTCCCTGATTTTCGGCCCCTCTTTCCCCATCTTCTTGAAGAGATCGGAATGCAGTCGCCCATCCACTTCCTCTTCTGCCTCTTCATTCGCGCACGAGTCGATCGACACACAATCTTGACGACGACGAAACCAATAGGCATGCGGACGGGCGTCTGCTGATTAAAAGCACGAAAGTCACGAGCTACTAACACATGCTGACGTTATCGTCTTCTGCATGACGTCAGCAAATGGCATCAGCTTGCGGCTTTCGCGGTCAAGATCTTTCGGCGCCCACGACGAACACATCTGACGCGTGGACGACGTCGCATGGCCGTTGTTCTTGACGTCCTCGAGATCGCGTCCCGATCGACTTCCTGTTCCCGTCTTCCCATCGCCTGTCCTGAAGTTTTTCGGATGTTGTGCCATCGTTGTGGTGATCCCATGATCTTACGTGCTTGTCATCGGAACGTTGAGCGCGGAACTGGCACGACGAATTCATCTGCAATCCTGACCACTGCCAGGCAATCAATCTTCTCCTTAGCTAAACCAAACGCGCATTTTCCTGAAGAGATCGGAATGCAGTCGCCCATCCACTTCCTCTTCTGCCTCTTCATTTGCGCACGAGTCGAGCGGCACACGATCTTGATGACGGCGAAACCAATCGGCATGCGGACGAGTGTCTGCTGATTAAAAGCACGAAAGTCGTGAGCTACTGACATATGCTGACATCATCATCTTCTGCATGACGTCAGCAAATAGCATCAGCTTGCGGCTTTCGCGGTCAAGATCGTTCGGCGCCCATGACGAACACATCTGACGCGTGGACGACGTCGCATGGCCGTTGTTCTTGACGTCCTCGAGATCGCGTCCCGATCGACTTCCTGATCCCGTCTTCCCATCGCCTGTCCTGAAGTTTTTCGGATGTTGTGCCATCGTTGTGGTGATCCCATCATCTTACGTGCTTGTCATCGGAACGCTGAGCGCTGAACTCGCACGACGAATTCATCTGCAATCCTGATCACTGCCAGGCAATCAATCTTCTCCTTACCTAAACCAAACGTGCACCGCCAAGATAAATCCCCCGTGTCGCGGTCTTTCTCGAAGAATTGCGTCGGGTCTTCGAGAAAGATCGTGAACGCAAGTATGGTGCGCGGCGCCCGGGGACGGCCAGCTTCCTCTCTGCAGGCCGAGTGTTCGACACGGTCGATTGATCTTGGTAGTGCAAGTTTGGTTTAGCTAAGGAGAAGATTGATTGCTTGGCAGTGGTCATCCTTCTGAGTTGCACTGACAACGACCTCGATCTTGCCCCTTCGCGATGGGATGCTGCGGGAATGGCTGTGCTCTGAGGATGTCGTGGTTGCGGCGTGAAACATTCGATCTTGCCCCTTCGTGATGATATGCTGCCGGAATGGCGACACTGTGAGGATGTCGTCGTTGCGCCATGGAACTCACCGAACGGCTTTCTGATCCAGTCTGCCTATCGCGTGTCTTGTCGTCTCTCGGATCTTGTGCCGGCTGTCCCTCATTATCCCGTAGGCCTATGATTAGACCGTTGAGTGTACAACTCTCACAAAACATGCAACTATAACCATCGCATGCAACTTGTCGAACTTCCCCAACGCGAAGACCCACCGCACACCGCCAAGACTCATCATCCCTTGTCGCACACACAGCCAGCACTGACGAACCCACACGTCACCGACCGTTACACACCTCACGCGCATTGGCGACATAGAGGGAAGACCCATCGCGCACCTCGACGTCGTCATAGTGCCGCCTTCCATGCAACATCCCATCGCAAACGACAAGAAACAAACACGACACACGCTGGAGTGGACATGGTGTTCGATGACGACGGCGTGTTCATATCTGTGTTGAAGTAAGTCATCAATCAATTCACAGATTGATCAGAGATCTATACCCGAGGACCACATTTTCAACTTTGATTAATCCGAGCCGTCGTATCGTACTCACCGAAGGGGGCTCGGGGGCGTGTAGCGGGAACGGGAGGGTGACCGGCTGCCTTGGGGAGGGGGTCGCATCAAGAATTCCATGGGGGCCATCGACTTCAAATCAACGAATTTGCGAATGACATTATTAGATTTTGTGAATCTCAGCTCCCCCCTCTGCTGTTGTCTTTTTCTCGGGTTCGGATTCACCCGGACCACAACCGAATAGGAGGTAGGGACGACACTCCTGGCTTTTGTCAGCTATTTGTTCTTCCTGATGGGGGAATGCAATCATCACACAGTACGTGTCAGGTCCGCCTCACTCCGAGATGTTTGATGTAGTTCGGATGAATCCGAATCACATCGCTCGGTGCCTCAGGAAGTCTCGTCGGGAAAGCATACGGAAATTATGAAAATGAACCATCCGAACCGGGCTCGGATGAATCCAAACCACATCCCTCTCTGTGACGCGAAGTCTCATGGGGAAGGGATAATGACGGCACAGGGAATCGCGTTTCAAGTTAACGTCTTCTAAAATTATGAATCGGATTCATCCGAACCACGTTTCTTGACATGAAATTAAACTTCAAAATGTCGCAGCGCGCAACAGACGTGGAGAAAGGAATTCTTACCTTCGTGATCCTTTCCTGATCCTCGCCTCGTTTCTATGATTCGGATGCATCTGAACCACAACCAAAGACGTGGCCGAACGCAGGGGGCACGTCGTCGTTTGTTTAAATCACGAACCGACAAGGGGTGACACTATGGACTGTCTTGCATATTCTCGTCCGCGTTGAAAGTATAGGACGGTCTGCTCGTAGGACATCTCAGTTACCCATCACTGTTGTCCGTCAGGTGGTTCGGATTAGTCCGAACCTGTCACTCGTACCTTGCCTTCCTTCGTCTCTTCTCTCCTCCTCTCTTTGCTCCCCCATTTCCTCCTCAGACACGGGCTGCAACTTCTCGCCATCCTTAAGGGGCGAGGGTTTGCTGGCCAACAACTTTCTTTTTCTTCTCCCTAACGTCCGCCTTGGTTGTGGCCCAATGAACAATATCGGTCTTTGTCTGTCCCATGGTCTCTCGGTCCTTTGCCATTCGTCTTCGAAGGGCGTGTTAGCACGGTTGACATCATTCTCGTTATAGAGTTCCATGTTGTCTTGAGTTTTTCCTGTGCCTATCATCACAAGGAAAACAGAACACCCAGTCCATATCCCCAAAGTGGAGCCCTGTCCAAGCAGTAGCAAGGCAAATCTCGTTTCCTTTAAGGTGGTCGCGCTCCCCCTGTTTCCAAGGATGCACCCATACCCAGTTTCCGTTCATGCACGTCCAAGTAATGAGTCGTTCCGCATTTCCCACTTGGATCCCATCCATCCTTTCAAAAAATTATGATACATTGCCCCAGACAACCATCCTGATACCATCCCTCACAAAAAATTATGGTACAATGCCTTAGGCATCCACCCCAATATCATCTCCCACAAAAACTATGGTACAATGCCCCAGCCACATCACTCATCCCACGCAATCCGCTCTCCCATAAGCCCGAGTCGGGGTGGAGTTTCAACCCCGGACCCTCGGAGCGGGGATCACCAAACCCCGCGGCCTGCCATCCAGAGAGAAGGTTAACAACAGTCTTATTTTTCATCACCACTTCAAGACACCCTTCACCACTTTAGGATGCAGCCTGCCTAAACAGGTGGTTTTCAGAGTCTTCGAACCTTTCACCACCTCAGGACACCCTTCACCACTTCAGGATGTAGCCTGCCTAAACAGGTGGTTTTCGGGGTCTTCCGACCTTTCACCAGTTCAGGATGCAGCCTGCCTAAACGGGTGGTTTTCAGGGTCCGAGGACCATTCGAGATTTTCAGACTGCCCAAAACTCTTACTTCAGAATTTTCATTCCTGAATTTTCAGCTACCCGTTAACTGCTTGTGGCCATCCACCCCCGCCCCTGCCCCAACCCCGGCAACCCCGCCCAC